GCGAGGGGGAAGTGCTGGCCTGCCTGCAAGAGCACGACGGATGCATTGCTGCTTCATCGTCATCATCTATCGCCGGGACCTGGACGCTGCATCCAGCCGTCCTGGATGGAGCGCTGCAATCGGCCGCCGCGCTCTTGAGCGACGCCAAGGAGGACCACGACACTGCAGCAGCGGCACATGGTCCCCCCGCCCCCATGGTGCCTGTCAGAGTTGAGAAGGCTCTTGTGGTGGGAAGCAAGTCATCATCTCCCGCCTCGGCCATCTGCAGTCACGCCAGGCTCGTCAGCCGCGCCGCCCGAGCGGCTTCTCTCGACATCACTCTCACCGACATGGCCACGGGAGACCTCCTCGCATCGCTCCAAGGAGTACAAGTCAGACAAATGGACGTGACGAGGTCTTCTGCGACAGCCCTGACGGACATGCTATGGGAGACCAAGTGGGAGGGACCCGTCGAGCGCGAGCAGAAGGAGGATGCCTCTGAGGAGCCTGCATGCCCGCGCCTTCTGCTTCTGGGCCTGACGCCTGAGTGGATCGCTAGGTTCGACGCATCTCGCGTTGGCCTGTTCGATGCCTCCCTGGTTCCGTTCGGTCACATCAGCAAGTACGGCACGGACGAGCTCAAGGCGATGTTGTCCGGCGCCACGAACAGTAGCCCGTGGGACGCCATCATTTACCTGGGCGGCGCGGACGACCAAGACCACGACCCATTGGCCGTGCTGGAGGAATGTCTAGCTCTGAGCCAGGCGCTTGACGGGATGGTGAGCCGCAAGAGGGGAAGCGAATCTCAGGACGTGGTCGCTCCCATGTGGCTCGTAACTCGCGGTGTCCACGCCATCAGTGGCGAGAGCGAGGCCGCAGCCGCCGCCCTCCCGCGTCATGCTGGCCTGTGGGGCTTTGCCAGGAGCGTGCGACTGGAATTGGCGGCCTCCTCTGGCCGGCTGGTGCCCTTCGGATGCGTCGATCTCGACTCAAGGGTGACCCTGGCGACAGACGCTGGCCGAGACGACGTACTCAAGGTACTTGTCTCGTCGGTCATCAAGAGAGAGACAGGCGATATGATGGAGATTGCCCTTCGTCAACCGGGAGTAGATGGAGGGGACAAGCACGAGCTGTTCTACTCGCAGCTGGTCAAATCAACTCTGAAGACCTACGTCGCCCACTCGGCCCTGGTGTCCGACAACGGCTGCTACGTCATTTCGGGCGGGCTGGGGTTCTTGGGTCTGCTGACAGCCAAGTGGCTGGCCGAGCAGGGCGCCAGGCACATTGTGCTGTTGTCTCGAAGGGGGCAGCCGACTCAGAGCGTATTGGACTCACCTCTCTGGGAGCTGCTGACGACCGTCAAGGCATCTAAAGGGGTGGAGTTGGAGTGCATGGCCTGCGACGTGGCATCCTTGGACCAGTGCGAGGGCGTCGTCAAGGCAATGTCCTCGCGAGATCTCACCATCAAGGGCTTCTTCCACTCCGCAGGGGTCCTGCACGATGCGCCTCTTGCCAAGCAAAGCCGGCAGACCATCGAGAGCGTCTTTCAGGCCAAGGTGAGTCACTCTCAGGTTGATCCATCCTGCAGTGACCCATCCTTGTGTCTGTCTGTGTGTGTGCCTGACTCTGGTTTGTATTCAGGTGGTGGGTGCGTGGAACTTCCACTCGCTGCTTGACTCGTCGTCTCTGGACCACTTCGTCATGTACTCGTCTGTGGCAGCAGTCTTTGGCAACCTAGGCCAAGCCAACTACTCGGCCGCAAACGCATGCCTCGACGCCCTCGCGACCCATCGTCGGTCGCACGGCAAGCCCGCTGTGAGTATCCAGTGGGGCCCCTGGACTGAGGGAGGAATGGCGTCGCCACAGGTGATATCGCAGCTCGGCAAGGTGGGCATCAGGGGCCTGACAAATGAAGTGGGGTTGCAGCTCCTCGGTGACATCATGGCGGCAAGGGAATCGGTCCGCACTGTGAGCTGCATCGGGGTGGAGTGGTCAAAATTCCTCTCATTGCGGCCCCCTGACAGCCAACGCTTCTTTGAGATCATCAAGAGACAACATCCAGACGACAATGAGAGCCCCGGTGAAGAGGACGAGGCGTGCGCGTTGACCGATGAGGAGGCTGAGATGGACGCCGCTGGGATGGCGGCTCACGTTCGCGAGGTGGTGCTGGCCTCAGCCACGGAGGTCATGGGCGCGGCCGCCAGTCAACCGAGCAAAGAGGGCGGAGCTGCTGGTCCTGGCTCCTCCGATCAGCAGCAGAAGCAGCAGCAGCAGCAGCAGGAAGGGAGTCCGCCAGCTGCGCTGGGCGACGTGCCGTTCAACGACCTCGGGATTGACTCGCTGGGCCTGGTGGAGTTCCGAGACGCCGTGGCTCGCAAGCTGCGCGTCAAGCTGTCGGTCAGCCTGCTGTTCGATTACCCGACCATTAACGCGCTGATCGGGTACATCGTCGGCGAGAAGGTCGCCTTGCTGAGCAGGAGACGCTCGCCCAACAAGGCCGCCCCTGGCAGTGACACTCTCGCCGCCGCCTACCATGCTATTGGCCAGCGAGACCCACCACCTCAGTCTCTGTCATCGGCGGGCGCCACCGTGAGCGCTGTGGGCGTCATGGGTCTCGCGTGCCGCTTCCCCGGCGGGGCCAACTCCTTGTCCACCTTCTGGGACGTGCTGCGGGAGGGGCGCAATTGCGTGACGACCATCCCCAGGGCGCGCTGGAACGCCGAGCTCTTCTACGATCCAGCTCCATTGGCCGACAGCAACACCCACTACACACGAGAGGGGGCATTCATCGACAAGGTGGAACTCTTCGACAATCAATTCTTCAAGATATCTCCAAGGGAGGCCAGGGCCATGGACCCCCAGTACGTAACGTAGCCATCCACAGACAGACAGACAGACAGACAGACAGGCAGATAGATAGATAGATAGATGGGGATGCAGTAGGTAGGTGCGCAACCTGTCTGTCTGTCTGTCTGTCCGTTCGAACAGGCAAAGGCACGTGCTTGAAGTGTCTTACGAGGCATTCCACAGTGCTGGGGTCTTCGGCAGCGGCCAGCAGGCCGTGCTGGCGGCCCTCATGGGCCAGAAAGTTGGAGTCTACGTTGGGTGTATGCAGCAGGATTGGCTACTGATGCAGCACGAGGCATCCAGCCTCGCCGCGACCGGCAGCGCCTCATCGATCCTCTCCAACCGCATCAGCTACGTGTTCGGGCTCAAGGGGCCCTCCCTCACCATCGACACGGCCTGCTCCTCATCTCTCGTCGCCACGGACCTCGGCGCAAAGGCACTCATGCACACAGACGCTTGCAGACAAGGCGCACTCGTCGCCGGCGTCAATCTCATGATGTCACAACACTCTTACGTAGCCGAGTGCAGGTAGGGACGACGAAAGAGGCAAAAGACCTTGTTGTTGCTGTCTC